GCTGTTCTACTTTCATTACTATATTAGACTAGGTGTTGAACTGTTCTACTTCCATTACTATATTGGACCAGTTGTTGAACTGTTCTATTTCCACTACTATATTAGACCAGTTGCTGAGTTGTTCTACTTCCATTACTATATTAGACCAGTTGTTGAGCTGTTCTACTTCCATTATTATATTGGACCAGTTGTTGAGCTGTTCTATTTCCATTACTATATTAGACCAGTTGTTGAGCTGTTCTACTTCCATTACTATATTAGACCAGTTGTTGAGCTGTTCTACTTCCATTATTATATTGGACCAGTTGTTGAACTGTCCTACTTCCATTACTATATTAGACCAGTTGTTGAGCTGTTCTACTTCCATTATTATATTGGACCAGTTGTTGAGCTGTTCTACTTCCATTACTATATTGGACCAGTTGTTGAGCTGTTCTATTTCCACTACTATATTAGACCAGTTGCTGAGTAGTTCCACTTCCATTACTATATTGGACCAGTTGTTGAGCTGTTCTACTTCTATTACTATATTAGACTAGTTGTTGAGCTGTTCTACTTCTATTACTATATTAGACCAATGAACTGTTCCACTTCCATTACTATATTAGACCAGTTGTTGAGCTGTTCTACTTTCATTACTATATTAGACTAGTTGTTGAGCTGATCTACTTCCATTACTATATTAGACCAGTTGTTGAACTGTTCTACTTCCATTACTATATTGGACCAGTTGTTGAGTAGTTCCACTTCCATTACTATATTGGACCAGTTGTTGAGCTGTTCTACTTTCATTACTATATTAGACTAGTTGTTGAGTAGTTCTACTTCCATTACTATATTAGACCAGTTGTTGAACTGTTCTACTTCCATTACTATATTGGACCAGTTGTTGAGTAGTTCCACTTCCATTACTATATTGGACCAGTTGTTGAGCTGTTCTACTTCCATTATTATATTAGACCAGTTGTTGAGTAGTTCCACTTCCATTACTATATTGGACCAGTTGTTGAGCTGTTCTACTTCCATTAATATATTAGACCAGTTGTTGAGCTGTTCTACTTCCATTACTATATTAGACTAGTTGTTGAACTGTTCTACTTCCATTACTATATTAGACCAGTTGTTGAACTGTTCTACTTCCATTACTATATTGGACCAGTTGTTGAGCTGTTCTACTTCCATTACTATATTAGACTAGTTGTTGAACTGTTCTACTTCCATTACTATATTAGACCAGTTGTTGAGCTGATCTACTTCCATTACTATATTAGACCAGTTGTTGAACTGTTCTACTTCCATTACTATATTAGACCAGTTGTTGAGTAGTTCTACTTCCATTACTATATTAGACCAGTTGTTGAGATGATCTACTTCCATTACTATATTAGACCAGTTGTTGAGCTATTCCACTTTCATTACTATATTAGACTAGTTGTTGAACTATTCTACTTCCATTACTATATTAGACCAGTTGCTGAGTAGTTCCACTTCCATTACTATATTGGACCAGTTGTTGAGCTGTTCTACTTTCATTACTATATTAGACTAGTTGTTGAGCTGATCTACTTCTATTACTATATTGGAC